TAAACTTGTGTATGGCTCAGGATGGGACTGGACCACTAATCTCATATTTGTTAGACCACAGCACTGGTAGCCTGTCTTTTCAGGCTCACTGACTTTGAGACTTCAGAGAATACAGATAACTGAAGGGAAGATGATAAACACCTTGTCTTAATCACCATTTGGGATTACCTTGCCTCCCTGAAGGGAATGGCCCAGCCACCATTTCTCATCCTGACCTCGAGGACTGTGAGGAAACCAGAGGTTTCTGCTGGGAGGGTTTTCTGTTTCCCTGTGGCCCCTTAAGCTGGGTGGCGCTTGGGCCCATGCTGGGCTGCTGGCATTGATGGAGGGCAGCGGGAAGCCACAGGACCCTCTGTCTGCCCGGACGGGTGTCCTGCCAGCAGCAGAGCCACAGCACGCGGAGGTGACCCCCTAATGGAGCTCAGCTATGGACTCTCCCCATTTCAGAGTCTTTTATTCCAAATCTCTGAAGTTCGTCTGCTATAATTTATGTTGGTACTGCTGCTGAATATGGAACAGAAATTATGATCTAGTTCATTTGCCCTTTTATCCTATGTTTCTGTCTGCTGCAAACTGTGGAAGATCCTTGAGCATACATAAACCCAAAGAAGGCTGCTTTTGAGCACGATTTAGCTCAGGTCAATGTCCATCCCCTGTTCGAAAGAAAACGGCAGCCATCATCCCTCTGACTGGTCTTTGCAGCTTGTCCCTGAAACCCTGTCCTCCTGCACGTTTGATGTGCTCCCAGTGACTCACCCTCAGACATGCTTCGAGCTTGCCCATGCTGCTGCGATTTTGTATGTGCAAAAGGAAATACTGAAAGATGTCGTTATCTCCTGTGCTGGGCCTTGTTTTTCTGGAGATCTGAAACCGTCTCTCAGATTGTTTTTAGGAGGTCTCCAAACGCTGACCTCATATGGCCTATCATCACGTATGAGGTACACAAAGACATATATATGTACCGAGTGGAAAAATGTCAGTCTCAAAACTGTTTTTGAAAGCACTTGTCTCTGTTGCAAAGGCTCTTTTGATGCATAAATTGAGTCACGTACAAGGGTAGATTTGATATTTATTGTGGGGTGTTTAGTGACCACAATATAATCTTGAAATGCAAGTTACTGTTTGCAGTTTGCACTTGTATAGGTAGGAGGGCTTCATCTCATAGCTGGCTCATTGGCTTAGTAAGTTGCGGCAAATGTAAGCAAAATTTGAGCTTCTGCAACATGCTGGCTGTAGGTGGGAATGCCGGTGCTCACCATCCGCTGCTGAGGGACTGCTCACTGCAGGGTAAATGGGCACAGACGAAAGGTGAGATGGATGGAGAGCCTCCCCCATACACCTCCAGGGGATGACTGGCTTAAAATGCAAATATTTTCAGTCAAAACGACAAGCAGAGCTAGGGGGATGGGGAGAGGGGAAGACCACAGCCAGGACTTCTCACCAGAGCTGAACAAGGCAGGGCAAAGCTGGGGGGAGACAGGCGGGTGGGTCCAGGGGTCCCCCGGTACAGGGTGAGGATGCCTGGGCAAGGAACACAGTGCTTGCAGAGCAGGCTTTACCTCGGTGGGCAGCTAAATCACACGGGAGTTATCATCTGGCAAAAATATGCTTTTTCTCTTTGTATTCCAGTCATGCAAGAGAGCCACGGGGCAGATCTTCTGCCACTGACACACGAGAGCTTCACAGCATTGGTACAAGAGAAGAGGTTGCAGAGGGGAATTCTGTGAATGCAAAACCCTGGGATGTCATTATGGCATTGAAACTTGAACCTGGACATCGCTCAACCTCTCCTTCCTCCTCCAAATCCCTCTCCTAAACCCACGGCTTTGCAGCCAGCCTTCCAGGCTCTCCTGGCCATCAGTCTGCAGCCCACAAGCTGTTATTTGGCTGCAAAAATAGAGGAGTTAGAAGCAATGTCTATAAATGCAAGCATATCTCTAGGAACTAGCGTTCTGGTTGTGTCAACAAAGCCAGGTAACATTCCCGGGCAAGCAACATTGCAAAAAAAAAAAAAAAAATCTTTAAAAAGTTACATTTTCTTCTTGGCAATGACTGGCAGACATCCAGAGTTACTGTCCAGGGGTGGCGTTAAAACGGGTCCCCTTGCCCTTTGTTAGTCCCTTGAGAGATGGCTTGGCGACTCTTTGGAGGTGGACAGCTGTGTGATCTGGTGGTCTTGCATGTGTGGAAGGGAGGAAGGGGAGGGTGACAGGGCTGCCAGGGAGAGACAGGAGGGTGCAGCACTTTCTCAGTGCAAGTCCTTCGAAGTCCAGCCTAAGCAATCCCTGCTGAAGACCAGCTATAGGGCTGTCCCGTGGCTCTGCAACCTCTTGGGGTTTGCTCTTCTCTTCCTCCTTGTTGCAAAGCAGTTGTACAATGCGTGGCTTTCCTGGCACTTCTTATCCAGCCTGTGCAAGCGCAGCCGAGCCTCTGCATTTCTTCACCTAGCAATCACTGCCGTGGTTCATAATGCTTTGACAGAAAAACCTGTACTAATTTTTCATGTGTCTGAACTACACAATGCTGCCAGAAAAATATTTCGCTTAGGCCTGGCTGCAGAAGGTGGATTTATCTTTGTTTTGTCAGCTCCTTTTTGTGGTTGTGCTGTTTGTTATCTGTTCCATCTTAGAGTGCTTCAGCACGCAGAAAGAGGACAGCCAGCAGCAGACTGTCCCTCACCTTGTTGCCATCAGATGTCCTCTGCAGATGCATCAGGTGTCATGCTCAGCCTGTTAACAGAAAGCGTTTGTGGACTGCGACAGGTAAGTATGAATTCACCAGAATTACATCCCAGAGGCATATTACACCCTGAGAGGTGCCTCAGCTCGTTGTCCAAGGGGCTGGCACAGTGGCATGATACCCCAGATTTTTTCCATGCCGTGAACAGTCCCTTCCCCACATCACCATATGTAGGTGTTTCTGTGCACTGACATTTCTAACCTTCAGTTTTTCCTCCCAGAATTTCTCCGTTTCTGCCTGTGCAGCGAGGTGGAGGTGCCTGCCTCGCCAGGCAGGGATGGCTTTCCTCATCTGACTCAAAGATGCTCATTAAAGCACGTTTTGATGCGCAAGGGGCAGCTGACTCAGAGTTAGGAGGGTAGGAATGAGGCGTTCGAATTCCTCCAGATGCGAAAGTCACTTCTCACCCGGCCAGGGAGGGGAGGGAGAGAAGAGCAATATCTTCTCTCTGCTGCCAGGAAAGGCTCCCCGCCAGCCCTGCCAAAGCCCCAGCAGTCCACAGTTCAGCTGCCCGAGCATCTTCTCCCGCTCAGCTCCGGGCTCTTGTCTGCACCAGGCAGTCGAAGCAAAGGTGTGATTTCGAAGGGGTTTAACTAAGCTAGCACAAATTTCCTGTGGATGCAAGACCTCAGAAAAATCTATTTGTTTTTATGTGACTGCTGACAACCGTGTATGGTTATGTAGGGGAAATTCCAGCTTGGTGGGCTGCAAATGGGTACAGGATTTCACCCCAAAACTTAAAAAGTATGCGAGGTGTTAAAGTAAAATAATCAATAATATATTGTATTTAATCTTATTTATTGCCATTGCATGTAGAGAATATTGTTCGTTTTCACAGAGAAATCAATGAAAATCTTCACTTTTATATTTTCTCGAAGGGCAGTTTCCACACTGGTGTTTCACAAATTTAACAGACCCTGCTTTGCAGTCGGGGTTTGCCCATGGACGCGTAGCAGACCCACTCAGCTGCTCTATAGCAAATTTCAGACATAAGCCATAAACAGTCATGAGGCAGAACAAACAAGAGAGCTTTCTACAAGACGCTTAACAGAGAAAGCATTACAGTTATTGATTAAAAGAGAATACAATATTCTGACCACATGTACAGTACGGTGGCAAAGTGATTTTATACAGTACATGCAGGGACTTTGGCTTAAATTTGAGGGTGAGATATTTATTGCTCGTACAGTTATGTGACAAATTATTGGCAAGTAGAAGCACAGATGGCTTTCCCTTAAGATCAGGCATCACATGCCACAAATTATCTGGGAAATTGTCATTTTAAAAATAACTCTGTAACAAGTGCCAAACTGAGAGGGATATCAGTGTCTAATAAACAGATATAAACACAGCAGTGCCCAAAACTAAAATATATTTGAATTAAACTATGCAGAGAGAGAGCATATACAATTAGCACCTATTCTCTAGCAGTACAAATGAAAGCCTTTCATACTGTATTTCTTCTGCCTCTTTCTCATCAGGAAATTCAAATAATGTTTGATGTCAAATAATGTGCATATCTGAGCCGCTGTGGAGTTAATGGCTTGAATAGTTGTGTCAGATTCTTAAGTTACAACTCCTCAAAAAAAAATCGTATCGGAAGAAACTTCAGCACAGTTATAGGCAGGCAATTTTTTTTAACCGGTTCTCAAGGTGGTGACATGTTTACACCCCAAAGTGGCCAAGCTCCGGCACAGCCATCGCTCCTGTCATCTTCTCCAGCAGCCGCGTGTGCTTCACGGCTTCGGAAAGGCAAGATCCCGGAGCCCGCCGAAACACGCGGGCAAGATGGCACCCTGCGCCTCACCGCCACGGCTGCTCGCCCAGAGCAGAGCATTGACCAGGCTGCAGCGCGTTGATACCCACAAATGTAGAATTTCCACTTACTAGAGTGATTGTAATTAAACTAAAGCAGATCCTTGCTGTTCTGAGAAGACAAGTAAGCTCTAAGATAAAGGGGCTTCTAAATAACACCACTTACACAAGCTAGACTGGCTGTTTTGGGGGGGACAGGAAAGCTCTAAGATAGAGCTGGGCAGATCGGGGCAGCCCCGCGCTCTCCGCTGCCGTGCGGAGGTAAGGGGGGG